CTGATGAAGAGTTCTAAATTCTTCTAAACTGCTCTAATTTATCCTGAATGGTGCTAAATTGATTCAGTTGCATTCAGAATTATTTTGAGTTATTCTAAATAGTTCTAATTCATTCTGAAGCATTCTGAATTGTTCTAGCTAGTTTTAATTCATCCTCTGAAACGTTCTAACTCATCTCGAAGCGTTCTAAATCTATTTCCTTATTTGACCAAACCCACATAATTCATTTAAATACTAAAATACTAATTTATTAACTCACATTAATATTTTTAAAAGCATATATCGCACATCATGCGCGAAAAGTCGACGACCAATTTGAAAAAATATACCACCCAAGGAGATTATTTATGGCGTTGATAGAAGGTCATTTTTAGTCAAATATTTATTACCCCATTGTAATTTATTCGATTATATTTATAGTCGTATATTTTAATTATCATTTACTCTAAATTGTTCTAGATAGTTCTAATTGGTCCTGATGAAGAGTTCTAAATTCTTCTAAACTGCTCTAATTTATCCTGAATGGTGCTAAATTGATTCAGTTGCATTCTGAATTATTTTGAGTTATTCTAAACAGTTCTAATTCATTCTGAAGCATTCTGAATTGTTCTGGTTAGTTTTAATTCATCCTGAAACGTTCTAACTCATCTCGAAGCGTTCTAAATCTATTTCCTTATTTGACCAAACCCATGACATAATTCATTTAAATACTAATTTATTAACTCACATTAATATTTTTAAAAGTAAATTTTTGACCGAAGGTGCGGCTCATTGTATGTTAATCACTCCACTTTGGAGCCTTCTTCTTTGCCTTCGGATGTGCATATACTGCAGTCGTTATGCAGGAACTCGGTATTGTAGTGTCCCGTGGTACTTCGACGTGATCAAAGTGAGATATATTCTCTTCTCCAGTGAGATCGCGCGATGAGTTCCGTGCGGTTTATATAGCGATTTATTCGTAAGGATTAATTTTTGAAGCGCGTTTTTTCGGGTGAGTTTTATATTGTAATTTGGTGAAATATAGATTAGAGCTTTCGAGGTGACTGCGCGTAGGGTTGGATTTAAATTACAAAATAGGAGTGAATTAGCTTTGAAAGAGGGAAGCGGAAAAAAGAAGGGCCGACAAATAAGTGAAAAAAGCGAGAGAGTGAGGAACTTCGGAATTAACTAAATTCATTCCACGGCTCTAATTTATTGGTCTAGAAGGCCTGGGTTATTATTAAGTTTGCATTATTATCGAGTTAGCCGGTTTGTTGTCGATTGTTCGCGCGTCTCTTCGACCAACAGCAGGACCGTATTCGGGAAAATTCCTTATAGTACAAGAAGAGCAATGTTTATGTTACACAAAATGGTCTATTTCTATATGTACAAAACCGAAGTGAATATAAGGAGAAACCGTGTCAACTTAATAAATCCGCGCGAAGACCCATCAAAGTTTCCTTTCCCGGAGAAAAAAAAAATAACAATCCGGGCGATAGAGAGTCCCGTGCCGGTTCGCAAAACTCCCTTTCGCGCCTATACGTATAGATATACATAGTAAGTGCCCCGGATGGGCTTAATGGACTTTCTGTGTTTCGCGATGCATGCCAAAACGGCGGGCGCCGACTGCTTTTCCTGATAAAGAAAAGCCCCGCGTTTTCTCCGACGCCCGACGCCGACGCCCGAAATTCCCTTCGACGCTCCTTCATTATGGAAAGGAATTTTATTCCGTTCGATTCCGTCGAGCACGGTCAGGCGATGCTCGTTGACAACTCCGGTAAATTTTCAATGTTGTCCAAAAACGGTTAATAATGTGACAAATAATAGGGAATCGGGGAAAAATTTATTTATATTGCATGGTTTTATGAATAAATATGACTATTTTTAGGGATATTTTGTTAAATTCAGGTGCATTTTTTAGTTGAGTAATTCTAAATAGTTTTCTAAGTTCGTACAGAAGTTCTTAATATAGCTATGAAAGTGTTCTAAATGGTTCTGGACTATTCTAGTTTATCATGGATTATTTTATATAATTATGAATCGGTTCTAAATAATTTTAAAGATTTCTAAATAGTTTTATGAGTTAATATGACTATTTTTAGGGATATTTTGTTAAATTCAGGTTCATTTTTTAGTTGAATAATGTTAATAGTTTTCCAAGTTCGTACAAAAGTTCTTAATAGCCATGAAAGTGTTCTAAATGGTTCTGGACTATTCTAGTTTATCATGGATTATTTTATATAATTATGAATCTAAATAATTTCTAAATAATTTTAAAGAGTTCTAAATAGTTCTAAAAACTGTCAATACTAAAATGGTTCTAAATGATGTTAAACAGTTCTAAGCGTTCTACAAATTGAAAGTGTTCTAAATAGTTCTAAACTTTTTTAGTTTAGCCTGAACCATTCCAAAGAGTCCTGAATCTGTTCAAAATTATTTTGGAAAGTTTACTATGATTCTAAGATCGTCCTGTACTGTTTGAAATGATCCTAGTCAGTTCTAAAATGATTTAAACAATTCTAAAACTGTCCTAAACAATTTAAAATAGTCTAGTTTTAGTTTATCTACATGATTTTGAACAGTTCTATGTGATTCTAAGATCCTCTTGATTTTTTTAAATGACCCTAGTCGATTCTAAAATGGCTCGAAATATTGCTGGACAGTTCTAACAGTTTTATATGATCCTAAAACTGTCCTGAACAAATTGAAAGGGTTCTAACTTAGTACTTCTAGACTGTTATATTTATCCTGCAGCATTCCAAAGAGTCCAGAATCTGTTTAAAATGATTTTGGAGAGTTTAATATGATTCTAAGATCGTCCTGAACTGTTTGAAATCATCCTAGTCAGTTCTAAAATAATTCTAACAATTCTATATGATCCTAAAACTGTTCTAAATAATTTGGACACACAAGCACAGTTTTTAATAAAACACAGGGCCGTATGTAAAAGTTGAAGGTCCCTCAAAAACGAACTAAAAAATAGATCCATCTTCAAGCTCGGTACGCAGTAATCGTGGCCTTTTACTTACCTATTTATAATCACAATATTTTTGTTGATTCGTCCCGATTAAAATTCCTTTACCTGTCGATAATGGACAGGCAAATCAATCATCCAGAAATCGTGTCTTATCGAAAAAAAACCACCGCGCTGCAAATGGGTGTTTTTATACTAATGGTTTCTCGAAGAGAAAAAAATAACCCACACACACACACATATATACTAGCGCCGATAATTCTCACGGTGACGTGAACTTTTATGTTCCCTTTCGATGATTATGTCGTCCTCGTGATTTAGCGCGCCGTCCCGTGCTCTTTTTTTTCCGGCACGTCGTCGACGAGCGAGCGACAATTTGTCAAAAATGCGCGGAAAAAATGCCAGGTGACGGGTGAAAAATGTCCCAGGCGATGATGTCTTAAACGGAATTTAATAGACAAGGATTAAACGCGGTTTCGTGTGCATGTATAGCGATCCAGTTCGATAAGAGAAACGGGTGCGTTTAAAGGATTGAAAGCGAAGAAAACGCAAGGGCTTTTTGTGAATATTACTGTCAAATGTCAGATCTGGCGAGGAACGTTCGTTGTGTAAACGTCGAGTCGACGATTTTATTAGAATCTTTTATGCGTTTCTTCCATTCCGAGCAGAGAAATTCCGGTATATTTTCAGACGGTCTCTTCGGAAATCGTTAAAGGGACGAGAGAAAATGCAATTTTGAGGGTAAAAGTACGTTAAATTGCGCGTCCCTCGTTTTACGCGTCGCGACAATGCTTTATTGTAATTGCGTTTCCTACCATCCCTTACGATCTTAACTTTTCGGCTACCCCCAGAGCATAGATACGACCCTAAGAACACTATTAGAAGCCACATCTCATTCCTTATTTATCTCCGACTCGGCGAGATTTACGGCTAGAAGGCCGCGACTGCATCACTCCTCGACGCCGATGGTTGTTTGTTCTGCTCCAACGGCGTCGCGACGTCGATTTTTACTCACAGATTTAAATATGCTCAGTTGAAAGCCAAATTATTATATTTCCAGAGTGGGTAGAGTTCCAACTGCACTTCCTTTGAGATTCAGTTTTCATACCAACAATGTTGCCAGATTTATATTTTTTCTGATATTTCTAATTCTTTTAGAACTATCCCGAAGCCGTCTAAATTGATCTAAAAAGTTTTAATTAATCCTGAAGCATTCTAAATCGTTTTGGAAATTTTTAACCTGCGTTCTGATGCATTCTAAATTGTTTCCACTCCTAGTTAATTCTGAATAGTTATTTCTAAATAGTTCTGAAGAATCCTAATTCATCCTAAAACGTTGTAAATGGTTCTGGACAAATCTAATCTGTTCTGAAGCATTCTGAATTGTTCTAGATACAATTCTAACTCGTCCTTAAGCATTCTAAATCGTTCGGGACTGTTTTAATTTATCCCAAAGCTATCTAAATTGTTCTAAATAGTTTCAATTCATCCTGAATCATTCAGTTTCTGTTTTATTTCATCCTGAATTGTTCTACTTTTAATTAATCGTAAAGCTTCCTAAGTGATTCCTAACCAGTTCCAATTCATGCTGATGTGTCCTAAATCTAAATCGATACAAAATGACTTGTTTTCCGAAACGTAAAAGACCAAATAAGTTATTTTGTTCAGTTCTGACTTTTGTTCACTGTTGCATCCCTGCACTTTCGCTGTTCATTAGATAATCCACATGAAACGTCGAATGTAACATAATGGAAAACAATTTAATAGATCGTTAGGCGCTCTATACCTTTTGCTTTCCTTCGGCGCCCGACTTAACCGCAGATGTCGCTTCATTAAAAGTTCCTCGGGTTCATACGTATGGGAAAATAATTGTTTCCGACCGGAACTGCGGTGTTAATAAGCGCGCAAAAGGTACCGCAAAAACTTGGAGCCAACTTTCGATGGCAATTACCGAGCGAAATTTCGGCGGTTGGCGGTCGTAAAAAGCGCCTCGGCCGCGGAACGCGCCGCTCGTCAATAAAACTGCTTTACTAACGCGTCGCTCGAATTAATTCGGTCGAAATATGCGCGACAAATCGAGCGAATTTTTGAGAAATCTTCGGCTTATAAGAGGGAAAAACAGATCGGAAAAGGTTAAAAGTTCGCTGTCGATTGGGAGTTTGTCGGGTTTCTTTCGAATTAGGAGCGCCGCGGGCGGATCTTCGATTTCATTAAAACTTCCATAATAATGTTTTCGTCGACTTTGATATTCTCCCGTCACTCGACTAGGCCCCTAGAAAGGAGAACTCCCGCCGATAACCTGCCGGTTTTATAACTCGTTATAATTAATGGGGAAACCGAGTATTTCCTCCGATTCCCGGACGGAGTAAACTTTAGCGAAGTTACTAATATACTTATAGAAAAAGCAGGTGGGATGATTTTCGCGTTTTATAGGTGGGATTTTCCGTTTTCTTGTCGGATTGTTTTGCATCGCTGGGAGGAAAAACGGAAGCGAACGGCAGGGGTTTTTGATTGATTGCCGCTCAAAATAAGGGCACCCTTGATCAATGGCCGCCATTTTACATTTTGGCGTTTGAGAAATATTGTTTGCCTTAGCAAAAAAGGCGTTGATGATCGACGAAAAAGCGGGAAAGGAATCGACAAGCTTCCTCTTTCGGGACGAGAAATATTGCCGCTTTAATCAAAGCATACAAAAATCTCACCTGCACAAGCACAACCCATTTCGGTAATAAAAACGGCTAAGTTCACTCGAGAATTTTTTAATTTTGCAACCATTAAGCATCTTCCAGTGCGGGTTTTAGTAAGTTACAATGTATAGTATATTGTATATCCCATTCTTGCGATAAGACGTATTATAACATCCTATTTTATGTCGATTTCAGCACAATGTTTTCCGCACATAACCCAAAGCTTTTTCTCAATAGAAAACCACCCTTGACCTCGTTACTCCCTTAGCTTCGCAAAATCCCCATCGTCATAGACGTGGACGAGGATTTCGTCTGTAGAAATGACATAAAAAACATCCCGACTAGGATATAGTTTAAATATTGTAGTGTTGGGATATTTTCCGGGTGCACGTCAATGGTCCGGTTGCTCGGACAAGGGTCTTTGTACGCTTCGGGGGTTTATTGGAAATTCAAAAACGGTTAAATGGACTTAATTCCGTATATATGGCGGATGAAAAACGAAAAACCCGATTTGATTATAAAAGAGTTTAAAAGGAATAGAATCGCTACGTATATATATTCCTTTCAGCCGTTCCGGAGGAAAAAATGTTAAATGGTTTCGGAAGGAAGAAAAAAAACAGAATGGCCGGGCTTTGTAGGATGGATATATACAGAAATGAAATTAAATTCCTTTGATGTGGAAGAGGTTGTTTGACCTCCCTTTTTTCCCTAAATGTATATACATTTATAATATGATGTAGGTGATTTAATTAAAAAACATTCGCAATAATTAGAGTGTAAATGGAAACGAATTTTTAATTTCGGAGTACCCACATAGCGATCTTTGCGATTCGTTTATCGCCCCATCAAAAATTTATTGCCAATAAATTTATAGCCACAGATAAAATTGGTGTAGTTTTCCTCGAGCGCCATCGCTATCGAAGAACCTAATGACGTACTTCAAAAAAATATATTCGAGCGGGATTTTTATCGTTATTGTCGTTTGTTTAGCCGGGAAAAATTCGACGAAAATCCGCCCGCTTAACCGCCCGCACAAACCGTTCCTCTTTGTCCCTAATAAACGCCATTATACGTCTCTAACGAGTAGCGTTTTCCAATTAAAAACAAACTTTCCCGAAAGCCATTTGTTTCCAGAGGTAGAGGTAGCTCCGGATTTATTTCGCGTCGGTCTTACGTCCGCCCCGACCCCTTTTCCCACCGGCGTCGGGCGAACATTCAAAGAACCTCCGACGCCCTCCCGAATACGCCGCGAGACAACTAAATAATCCCGCCCAATTACCGTTCGGGATCGTGCCCTCGCGTAATGCGCCGTTATTATCGACTGAGGATAAACACAATTAGCGAAGATCAAAGTGAGCTGCATACACACCGATATACGCCTTCTGGATGGTACGTGACTGCGACGTAAGGAGAGGCTTTTTCGCTGCTCACCTTGCTGCTACGTCTTCCTGAAACTGGATAGGGAAGCTGGGGTTTTTTTTTTTCGTTGAAGGTAGATTCGGGGAAGATTTGGTTATTGGGATTGATGGTGGTGGTTACAGGATTCTTATGATCTTCTGGATTCGGTCGTTGGTATTGAGAAACTGGTTGAGATGGGGGTGTTTGTTCATTAAAGTGTGGAGAATTGTACTTTAGAGGAATCTATTGAGCTTTGAAAGTTTCCTGAAATCTACTGGAAACTCAATTTTTTTCAAGAAAAGGGATGAACTAAGTTTCATGGTTGAAGAAGTAAGATTTGGTGAAGATCAAAGATCCTGTCGTTGTTTTCCAAAAACTGATGGATGGGATGGAGGTTGTTTAAAGAAATTAGATGTAGTCAATATGGTTAAAGTATGAAGAATCATCCTTTATTAAGCATTCAAAGTTTCCTGAAATCTACTGGAAACTGTATTATTTTCAAGAAAATAGATGGAATGAGTTTCATTGTTGAAGAAGTAAGATTTAGTGAAGATATATAACAGATGGATTGAAGATAAAAAATGTGTGGTGATGATATATTATTCATTGTGATGGTTAGACTGAAGAAAATTACTTCTTATTAGTTTTGAAAGCTTTCCAAATTTTACATGAAAGTTCATTTTGTATTATTATTGTCTACATTAATTAAATGTTCTAAATAGTCCTGAGAGCATTCTGGATTAAACAATGCTGGAGAGTTTTAACAGTGTTCTATGATCCTAAAACTGACCTAAACAATTTCAAAGCGTTCTAAATAGTGAATAAATTCTGGATATTTTAAGTTTATACTGGACCATTCCAAAGAGTGCTGGATCGGTTCAAAATGATCTTATTGTCTGACCTACTTCATTCACAATTCCAGATTACCAATCAGTATACATCTTCTCCACACTGGCCTCTTCCTTCACGTTTTTCCATCCACACTGCTCGTTTTTCCAGAATCGCGCGATCGGTTAATATTCGCGATCCGCTCCTGGGAAAGTTCGAGCACATAGCCATGCACCAGGCACGCTCCGGAAGGAACTTTTTGATGTCCCACATCCGTCGGCGGCTCGCGCCCGCCTCACCTGCCGCACGCCGCGCCGCGGGAGGCGGCGGGTCGGCGGCGCTCCCTTCGACATTATTGCTCCTGTTTACAAAACAGAGACTTTGCTTACGAGTGGATTGCTCGCGAAGCGCGCACGCGCGATATCGTATTCCCTATATGTGAGCGAGCGTGTGTGTGTGTGTGCGGTGTTTGCAAATAATGCCAATTTGAATAGGATTATCTTGAGCCGCGGGAACGGAATCGTGTGGGTTGTCTTTCGGAATTGGTTCGGTAATAGGAATATTTGATTTGCTGGGAATTGTATAATACAGCTCGAAATATAAACGGAAAAGTCTAAAATTATAGCGGTAGCAGGTGTTTATGGAAACTTTCCGGGTTCACGGCACTTACACTAGTGGAGTATAAAGGGAAATGTTTCTTTTGATGAGAAAAATTCGATCGGTTTTTCAGTTGATACCTACTACATTTGAATCAGGAGGAACATTGTAACTAAATAAAATAACACAGAAAGAAAAAACTAGGTAAATACTACAAAAAGTTCCTCAGAATTAAAAGAAAGTTCTTTCAATATAGCGCCGATTAAACTTTTTATTAATATTAAAGAAACGTTTCTGTTATTTTGTTTTAAAGAAAAATAAAAAAATATTTTATTGATTTTAAAGAAGCAACCTTTATATTACCTGAGCAAAGAACAACTTCTGTAGTAATAAAATAATTATTTATAATGCATAATTGTCTCTTTAAAAATATTTCTCTAAATACTATAGAAATCTTTGACCGTTATGTATATTTTATTTTATAAAATCTTCTGTAATTCGGCCAATTCCTTATTAAAAGAACCACGTTTTTAATATTAACAGAAATTGTATATTCACTGAGAAAAAGGTTGAGTTATATGTAACCAATGTGGTTAAGAATTAAGCTATGAGAGAATCAGAATCCGACATAACCAATTTTTATTAGGATATAACCAATAATTGACTATTAAATTAGTAATATACGATGTATTCCTTAAAATAAAATGTTGATTAAAAATAAAAATACTTTATATTTATTGCCACTATTAATGATATCAACACAACTACACCAGGTTATTAACAAACTTTTCTAGGTTTTCCTATGAACTCGATAGATTAATAATAAATACACTAATATTTATTATAAAACCAACCTGAATTTATTTTTAATCAACTCTCAATTGTATTTACCTAATAATTATATTAGTTTCATTTATACAGGATGACTTGTATTGCTACTTTTATATTTAGGTTAGGTTTCAGTAAAATCAGTTCTAATTTCGGTTTTAACTGATTTTACTGAAAACTATCCCAAAAATATAAAAGTAGAAATACAAGTCATCCTGTAAATAAAACGGGAAAATAAGAATTGTTGCAAATAAAAAATGCATAATAAAGGTATTTGAAAATATTTATTGAACTTAAGTTATTAATTGAGGTACATTAACAAGAACAATAGAACAAAAATAAGGGTCGAGAACGGTAAGGGTCGAAAGTCTTGTGAAGTATGTAGATGCATCAGAACTAGTAGATGCAGTCTTCCTAAACAAAAACCAAAAGAAAACTTATTTCCTAGAATAGGAAAAAACGCAATACCTTACAAATTAATTATTTCTCCTTCGGTTAAGAAGACAAAATTTTTCTCCTCTGATTGGACAAATTTCTTCGAAATACTGTTCGTCGTGAACTAGCATGCAGCTCCAATTCTGCCATGTTCTTGATTGAATTAACTGCAATGAAATAAAAACCGTTACAAAAATAAAAAAAGCTAATAATTAATGTTTACTTACAAATAAAGGAATTGAACTTTCCAATCCTAAATCCTCCACAAATTTGTTTTTCAGTCTCTCATGAGCTCCGGTTCCTGTCATTTTTGTTGTTGTGATTAAATAATGCAATCAGAACAAATTCATTACTAACCTGCATAGTAGTATCCTTTACAGAAGCACTTTTACACAATTATGTAACAAACAATTAAATACAAGCAAAATTCTTGCACTACAAAAATGTTACTACCGGCGACCGGCCTGATGGTTGCAGGAATTTTGGGAAACGGTACGGTTAGTACGGCGTGGCGTACGGTACAGCATCCATCAAAACAAATAGAACAATAGCCAACAAAGCCAGTGAAATTAGGCGGACTACGTCCATATATTAGATATTAATCAATAAATATTATTTATTATTCTCTATAATATTGATAATTTTAAATATAATAAATTTATATTAAATTAATTAATTACTTATCAGAATTACAATATATTTAATACAACATATGTTTATATTTTTAATATGTCAATCATGTATTTAAAAATTTTTCACCTTTATTAGTAACGATTGAGTATATATTACCCAAATAGTTTTATTGCAAATCATCTAACTTGTAGTTTATAATAGATTATTCAACAATCAACACATATATTTATTATTAAACAAGATTTTTTCTTGTTATCATATTTAGTAAGTTATATTATGGAATACACTAGCAGTTTCAATATGAATAAATATCTTCCAAAGCAATATTTACTAATAGAAAATACAGTTTTTTCCTCAGTGTTTTTGTGTAAATTTGCTCTAATATTTTCTTTTAGTATTATAGATTATTCTGTTATATTAATAAACAGGCTTAAAGAACCACTACACTTAATAAAATGTAAAAATTTTTTTCTGTGAATGAAAGAGAGAAAATTACTAAAATTAGATTTTTAATGATGATAAAAAAGAGTATAAAAAATCCAATATTTTATACCAAAAAAACTTCTGTATCTACCTACTAAAAAATACAATTATTATACTATCTGGAGGATCACACCATACGTACAATTTTCCCGTTAACAACCTATCGATTTTCAGGCCAATAAAACTAACGATATGGGCTCGATTTAAATAAAAAAAAACAACCCTTATATCCATAACGAAAACGGGCTAATAAACACGTCTCGTTTCCATTTCATCGCTCAAGATGTAACCCAATATCACAATGTTTGTCGTTTCCAACGGAGTCGAGACAATCCTAAAAACCCCCTTTCGAATGTTTAATATTACTTCTGTCCGTATCCCGTGCACCCTCGCAGGATTCGGCTGCAACGACACGTCCAGCGTCGGCGGGGACGAGTTTACTCTGCAGCGAAAAAATAAAATTACACCCGTTTTCAGTTCGAATAAAAGAAATCTTAATAAAACTCGCTAATGAACTTTCAGCGTTATTTTACGCTTTTTTTTTATTTGTCAAAAGAGAGTCTTATTCGCAGCTTTTTGTGAATTAAATATTACCCGTCGAGATTTTCCAGCGAGTGTTTTAATTAAAAAAAAAAATCGAAATTAGTCGAGACGCGGAGTTTATTTTTATATTTAATACCTGTACACGGTGAATTAAGAGACCCGGCGGAAGCATTAGCGAGTCCTTGCACATCCGGTATATGAAGTTATCTTTAATTGGCGACGGCGCCCGTCCACCATAAAACTCAAAATAACAAAACATCGGGCAATCTCGCCTATTTTTACAGCGCCGCAAGAAATTAATCCGGCTGTTTGGCGACGTCTAATATCGCCTTCAGGACCGCATCCGAAAAATCCGAAACTCGAATTCGACTTGTCCGTCGAATCAGAAATTTCGAAATCCCGCCGGTCCTGCGGTCGCGGTCATTTCGATCGCCGGAAGTCGCAAAACCCCGTCATCGGAGCCCGAAGACGGCCCCAAAACCGCAAAGCTAAGGGTCGGTTTTCCCTCGGCTTTCAGCAGGAATATTCACGGACCGATATCACTCTCGATGATACAAATTTACTCCAACGATTTTAGCCACCCTAAATGAACATGAATTTCTTCATCAAAAACGATTGGTTGTTGCCAACAATAAACAGCAATAACTATAAAATGATGAAGTTACTTTTCGGTGCATTGATAAAAATTTTCCTGGAGCGCGCGCGGAAAGTGTTGATCAATTTTAATTTGAATTTCCGCCATTCGTAACGTCGGTTCGGGTTAAAAATTACTCTTTCTCTGGCACGGCTTTGCGAGGGGGTCGGAATTCCGAAGCGTTTTAGAACTTAATAAATTTTATTCGTTTTAATCAAAGGCGGCGCTCGTCGAGGGCGGAATTAAGATTTCCGGGCCGCCGCCCGGATAACTCCGGTCGGACTCCGGTCGAATGCAAAAATAATAAGGGTAGGTATGTGCCGGGGCGAATTGAAGGGGGGCGTCGATGTGTGTGTATATAATCCAGCACGCGTCGAATTCGCCGGGGTTTTTTCCATAATAAATGTAACGGGAGAAAATGAAAAGAGACTTTTCTTATCCGCTCCGCATCGCCGGGACTCGAGGCGGATTTTCCTGATTAAATCCCGCTAATAAAAATGAATAACTCCCCAAATTTTTACGCTCCGACGAATGAAAAAAATGCAACAACGTTGCGAAAAAGTGCATTGTATATTTCCACTGCAATTTATACTCACTAAACTTTTAAATCGCACCAGTTCCCAGAAAACTTATTTCTCACTTTATAATTTACCTTGTTATATGCATTCTTAATGCCTACATACGATTTCTTCCAAAGTAAAATCACCCTTGTTACCCTATTATATGCATTAATAGTGCATCCAATCTATTAACCACATAAATTATTAGCGCTTTTAATATATCACATTAGTTTAATTAGGAAAATCCGGTGAGCAAAAACGGGCGGCCGTTTGAATATTTCATCGGACACTATGTGGAGGATCTTCCGTATTGTTGCGCATAACAAGGTCCTTTATTAACGACGTTATTATAAACGTTACGGTCGGTATAAAGTGCAAAGTTACGGCGCGAGAGCGGGGCGGGTTTTGGAAGTTGGTCGTCGGAGTGGTAAATCGTTCGGACGAAGTTGGGGGAAAGGAAAAGTTCGGCGGGAAGTTGTCGCGCGTAAACGCGTTAATATTTTTCTCGACTCGATAATCCCTCGTATACAAAACGGTAAGTTGTAACGTAGTTGATTATGCGGCGCATTTTATGCAATTTACGCCGTATGCATATTCCATTAAACGCATTCGTCGGAACTAATCTGACAATCTACATCTATTACTGAACGTATAGTCATGTAAAACAGATTGAATGCATCACCATACTAATTTCAATTATATTTTGTTATTATTCTGTCCGATTCTCTTTCGATTTGAGTGCTCATCGCTCCGTACGAAATCGACCTATTAAAACGCATTCTGATTTCGCATCTATTATTGTTATACAAAACCATAAATATCTCGCTTTTTTAATAACAATCACTAATCAATCAATACAACCTATATCATCTCATTAAAAACTAATAGCGAATTATAAAATTTCCATGTGATTGATAAGCGAATTTCCGCGCAGAAAAACTAATTCGATGAATAATGAGATTTTCGCCAGGAAACTGAAATAATAATTAATCGATTACATCGCAATTGAATTCGTTAGACTAATGACATGGAAATGCACTCGTTTTAGTACCAGAAAGGATTAATACAATGAGTTCGCTGCAGCGCATGCGGTTCGTATAATTGATAAAATACGATAACGTCCGGAAAATATCGCAATAACCGCGAAAATCGACCTCGCGTCCGAACGTATTGCGGGCGAAAACTCCGCCGAGCGACTTAAGAAAAATTCTTTTTTTTTGGTCGACGTGTATATGCGTGGGATTACACTTTGGAAAGCTTGAGCCCGAATAAGTCGCCTTCCAGTTACGGGTAATCCCCGAGATTTTTCCGCAACTTTTCCCGCGAGCATTAAAACCCATACGTGAGCCTTAAGGTAGAGGGAATTTTCCCGGGGCGCCGAACTTCCCGCGTTCGATTTTCCGAATTAAACCCGAATAATCGATTCGTATACACAACCTTTAATTACGCACGCACAAAGCACTCGAGCATTTCCATTTTTTTTCACCGACGAAATTTTTCAATCGCCTTTTTCCGATACAACTCCGATTCAATTTCTCTAAAAGCACACCGAGATATGATCCATAAATTCCCCGTGTGCCATCGGGCGATGATCACGTCACGTCGAACGTAACATTAGGCACTACCGATGCCTTTCTACACCCCCGAGCCGATCCCTATATCGGAAGGGTAGCGAAATTCACCCCCAACAAAAAATCCACACTCCTTCATTCTACATACATTCAATTCTTCATGACATTATACACAACATTATGCATTATATCTTGCTTTATATCAAACACGATACCACTAATGAAGATAATTTTTGGCGGGTTATTTCGTGGTTGTCTTAACCGGTCGTGGAAGTGCCCCGGGGTTGTTCCTTATTTATTTTTTTTAGGGCCGCTTCTCGGGCACGACCCGGGGGTTCTCATATATCTCTTTCGATGACAGGTGCGAGTGTTGTTAGCGAAGTGTCCGGCAACGTTCTAATTGGAATCCAGTCACATCTCTTGATGGTATTATAGGAGCAAACAAAGCTCACGGCGGCTCCGGGGCCCGGGAAAATTGCGGTTCCGGCTAATGGGATTATTTGATTTATATGACGCCGACGCCCCCGTTATATGTGAAAAAGTTACTTTGCTATGGCGGTCGCGGAGTGTATTTTTTCCGGCTCTATTATGTTCTATTTGTTACCTGAGAGTGAGCTCGATTTTAGGGTTTTTTTTTATTAGGAATTTCGCGGTTGGTAATTGCAACTTTATGCATTCGATCAGTTAAATTTCCGCCGCGGAAGTGGAGAAGAGAAAAACCTTATATAGACAACTTTAGCGAAATTTAATTATAGTAAAAGATGAGACGGAAAACCGGAGTAGGAGAGTTTTCGAAAACGAAACGCTTCGACAAAGTTAAAGTGCCACTTTGTTAACGTAGTATTACTAGAAAAGTGACGTAATTAGTATAAAATATTAGAGAAGTTTTCGCGAAGTTCCTCCAAAACAGGTTCCTGTTGCCTTTTTTTAGCTACTCGGAACTCCCGAGTTTCGCTAAAAAACGACCAAAGAAAATAAAATCGCTATCGATGCTTTTTTATCATCTAATTTGATTAATTCGCTTGGATAAAACTAGATGCACGTTGCAATTTCTTAAAGTTACTGACATTTCTTATTTACCCCCCTTGCACTTACACAATAGAGCCATCAGAGCGCACCCCAAATATTTCTCTAAGCAATAAATTTCGTGTTTACATCAATTCCACCCCTAATAGTTCAGTAACTG